TTTCGAGGTTTCGCAATTTCGAATAGCCACAAACCGTCACAAACCTTGCAAAATGGCTGAACAGAAGGAAAAGGAAAGGCTTTGGCTTGAACCTTGCACACTGTGACACTGGGAAGGGTCGTGTTGAACTCCACTCGCAAGCTTCACACTCAGATTGTCAGTCAAAAGCTTTTCGAGATAGTCCGTTGCATTTTTTGTGGCTCTCCTATATAAGCATCCTTGTTTTCTGTGATAATGCAGAGATATGTGTTGTCGCAAACTGCGACTTTCAAGTGCGAACAGGCAAGCCTCAGCTCTGTGGCTCATACCGCTTTGGGCTCTGCATGTGGTTCAGCCAACTGTGGCCGTCGACATCCCCCCAGGAAACCTGCAGTCTCAAGAGTGGTCTACAAAGACTACACTGGAGTGCTTTTAAGGAACTTGATTCAAGTTACTATATTGGGGAAACCATATTATTGACTATGTATACCCATTATGCCAACTTACTGTAAGTTCCTTAACAGCAAACCAGTGTAGCCCAGGCCTCTATAGGATGCGCTCCGTGAAGCTGACTGGCTGCTTCTAAACGGGTGGTAGTCTTGTAGGCCTCCTTGTGGTTCCATGATATGGGGGTTTCCCAACATTAATTCAAGGGTACCTTTTTGGAGGTCCCAATAATAAGGATCATACTATTATGAGGTCTAGATGGGGGTTCCCCTCTTTAGGGAACCTACCGTATTTTGTTGGAGTGTAAGAGATGACATGATCAGCTAGACGGGAGCAGGCGCAGGCGGCCTGCACCCGAGGGCTCCTATATTGCTTTTCTGGCGCTGTTCTATGAACCCCAACTCATAAACCATAGCAGATCCAAGATGGAATCACACAGAAGCCTCAGGGCAAGAGCGCTATGGAACCCACAATCCCCTGGAAACCCTCTCGAAGTTGCTCGTGCTTTTTTCATTTGAAATGGCACACATACACTACAGAGATACCGGTTGGAAAAGTGCCAAGACGCTTAAATCCCTGCGGTATGCAGTCATTACAAACCCCTGAAGCTCTACCCAGACCCTCCTATGTAGTTCCTTTTTGGGTAGTATATTCTAATCCCTTACCCAAAAAACCATAACAAACCCAAAAAGGAACTACATTGGAGCCCTTGGGTAGGCTCTAGGCTCAATTCGATGAATTCCCCAAACCCAAAAATTGAGGCCCCACCTCGGTGGCTCCGCTGTCCAAGATGCGGAGTATTTGGCCAAGGTTTGTAGCAGGCTGCCACCCTGCCGCGGAAACTACGCGCTTAGGGATTAGGGTTATAGTTAAGGATCTATTGGGGTTATATTGGGGTTATCTTAGGGTTGTAGTAGGGTTAGATTAGCGTTACGGATTAGGGTTTAGGGAGTTCCCAAAACTACGGGCCCTTCTTGTTTAATATGGTGGGGCTTAAAATGGTATAAGGCAGGGCAGACCCCTGTTTCTTGGAAACCCCTATTGAATCCTTTTTTTTTGAGCGGGGGTTGAGGCTTTGTGTTTTAGGGTTGGGGGGTGTGGGGCTTAGTGGTAGCTTAAGAAAGTGGGCTTTAGATTTGTACGACACGCGCACGGGCGCCTAACATTCCCAACGCAAGCCAAACAAACTACAGGGGGACGATACGTTGATTTCAGAACTGATAATTTCCCCCAAAAAGGGGACACCAATATAGACCCCAAAATACTATAGTCCTTATTATGGGAAGCCTATTTAAATAGGTGCCCATAAGTTTGGGGAAGTTACGGAATTTAAATCAAGTTACCATAATGGGTGTATATGAGAATTAATATGGCTCCCCATTATAGTAACTTAAGATAAGTTTCTTAACAGCAACCCAGGTCATGGGGGAAGGAATCCAGAAGGATACGGGGCACGGCAGCAGGTCCCTTTTGAAGAGGTTTCGGCTCTGGGGTTGCATCATCACCCTAACCCAAAGGGTCCATGTAGGTATATGGTATATATTTACGGCCCAAAGGGGTTCCCACATACCTACTTTAAGGCCCAAGTATATCCCATATACCTACATGGACCCTTTGGGTAAGGCTCAAAATACCCCAAACCTTCTATAGTATACTTGTAGGGTCAGGGGGACTTAGTAAGTAGGTTAATAACCCCTATAACCCATATAGACCCCCAGTTATCCTAATTATTAACCTACTTACTAAGTCACCCTGACCCTCCAAGTAATCTTTGGCCCCAAAGAAGCTCAAAGCGTGGGTCCTTGGAGCTTTAGGGTAATGGATAGAAAGTCCTGGAAAGAGCAGCATTTTTCCAAGCCGCCGTTCTTCCTTTTCAGCCTTCGGGTCTGGGCAGCCTCCCAAACACGCGAAAAAGCTGCGCCGTCTTGCCCAGAAATGAACTATAGGCTGGTTACATCACGAAAGAGTAGCGTTCTCTATAGCAACAAGTCTAAGAGCGTAGAAGGAAACAGATTTTACCTGGTCATAACTCGCGTTTTCTCTACAATGGACATCACAGAGCAATAAGCTGCAAAACACTTAACCGCATAACTGCTAAAGGGCAACAAACACACAATCAAACTATCTAGGAGAAAGCCTCCATGGTGGCTCAAAGCTCTTCGCAGAAAAGGTGACCTGCAACCTAGGGACACATTGCTCTTGAGATTCACGTTCTGCCGCAACCTGTTTGAGGCTGTTCATGTCAGGCAAGGGTGCGCAAGGTGTGTGTCCAACTGCTGGTCAGTTTCGGGCGCGGACGTGCAAGAACATCTGCAACACAACGGGTCCATGTAGGCAATAGTATAAACTTGATTGAGCCCAATGGGATTCCCTGTAACTCGTATGAAGCCAAAACGTATACCTATATTCGCCTGGGAACTCTGAACTCTTCCATTAATTGCTTGTAGATGTTGATCAAGGATTTATACCGAGAGCGCAAAAGCTGAATTCCTTTCAGGGCATTAGATACCATGAAGGTAGTTCCCAAAATTGGGGTCCCATTCTTGTGGCCCTAAATATTCGGTGCCGTAATAGGATCTATAGCCAAACGCTTTGGATCAGGGTCCTGCCCGATACTGTGGCACTGTAGCACTTGTGGGCTACAGGAGAAGCTCCTCATGTGGGGATCACGGGTTTAGGAGCTTAGGGTCTAAGGTCTAGGGTGGTAATAATGGCGACTCACATCAAATGGAACAGAACATGGATAGAGTTTGTACAAAGGTTTATTAGGAGAGGCCCTTTGTAGGAGCACCTTGAATAAAGATCGATGTATATTCTTGGGCCGAGGTGGGGGCGGGGGGCGTTGGGGCGTTACAGGTTGACTGGAAGACTCGCTCTCGAATCTCTGCGTAACCGTGCCTTGTCGAGGAGCTTTCGGCTACAGCCCAAGCTGGGCAGTGCGCTGCTTGAGTTCTAACTGCCTCTGAGACAGTTACTGGTGCTTCAGGAGAAATGGATCCCTAATGATCCCTGTAACAATCCCGGAAGAATCCCCCTGTATTGATACCTATACTTTCTCCCCCACTCCCCCCTTAGGCACCTGTAAGAAAAGGCTGCTCTGGAGCTCGTCATCCCTGGTGCGCTGTTGGCGTGCACGAAGCGCTGAGGGCTTCTAGGGCTTCACACAACAAATCAAGGTTGAAGATTTAGGGTTTAGGGTTTTGGGGGGTGAGGTCTACGAATATGTTTTTTGAAGAAGGGTTCATCAATAGGTGGGCCCAAGACAGAGCCTAGTTGCTATGTGGACACCCAAAACAGGGACCCATAATTTTTCAGAAGGCCAGATAAACTTCGCATGGAACTTAGAATTGAACGACTTCTCTGCATGCCCTGAAGACTGAATTCCAAACAGCACGCCAAGACACTAAAAGGGTCCAGTATGCACGAATCATATACTTTGCTGTCCTTACAATAGCAATCTCTGCAGCTTAGGGTTTTTGTGGGGTGGATATGAAAACGTCATAGTTTAGGCCTTAGGGTAGAAAGCCCTATAAAACCCTGAGTACCACGGATTCATCGTCAGAGTCGAGATCTCGGTCCGCGAAGCGCGGGGTGAGGGAAAGCTCCCCTGTCTCCTCACTTCAACCCATGTGAATAGTTTTTTTGGGGGTGGTTAAACCCAGTAAGGGTTTAGGGTTTAGGGTTCCTTATAGAAAATACTATACCCAAAAAGGAGGATATAATCTTACTCTATATTGGGTACCATAGTATCCCCAAATAAAATACTACTCATGTAAGCCTTAAGGCCTAAACCCTAAACCAGAAACCCTAAACCCCAGACCCTTAACTCTAATCCCTGAGCCCCGAACCCTAAACCCCAAACCAGAAACCCTAACCCCCCTAAACTCTTATCCCTAAGCCCCAAACCCTAA